AGGTCGGAAATTCTTTCAGCTGTTCAAATCCTTTTTCAAATTTGTTCTAGCTATTATGGGCACAATTCTATCGTAATAAACAAAAAAAGTGGTCCATATATGGACCACCGCCCGTCAAAGGGTTAAATTAACTTAATTTTATTGTGATTATCAGAACGTATTTCATCATTGTACTAAAACAAACTCGTTAAGGAAAGCAAAACACTTTATTCAACAGAATTGTTAGCCCTATGCAGATATACGTGCAACATCAAGAGTTCAAAGAGTCAGGTGACTCAGGAGAGAATAGGGAAGACAAACAGCAATGCCCACAAATATCCTATATCACCTTCTTTGAGTACAGAGCGTTAAAAGGGCACATTATGCAATGTCTGGTAAAATCACAGTTGGCACAACCATTAAACATATGAAAAACAACAAATGTCAAACTACAATTAATCATCCACGAATCTATAATCAATTGTTCCGGGTTCATTCCTGTGAAACACTCTCAGAGCCTACTGCTCTCTGGGTAGCGGGAGCCGCATCTTGGGACAGACACACTAAACAATTTGTGGCAACTGGAAAAAATCAACAAAGCTTTTTTAGTACACAAAAACCTTATATTTTTCGTACTTGAAATATACGATCATACTTTCGTGAAGCAAAAAGAAATACAAATGTAAAAAGGTTAGAGATGAATGATGTGGTGAAATGATGATTATAGTATGTAGTCTTGGAGGTGATAGTATAATGACTGTACCATAGACTTCATTTTCTTACGATGATCATGCAGTAAAGATCAAATTGCTGGTTACTACTTGCAGAAAAAAAAATCCAGTGTGTCAATTCGTTTTTATGAAAAAATTACGTTTTAAGACAAATTGAAAAGAGTAGGCTGGATATAGTTGTTAGTCTATACTGAAAGGATCCTCAATAATCCTCGTTTTTCTAGTTCGTCCTTTTTGGGATACAATACGTTCGTTACTGATTTCTTTTTATTCGTTTTCAGATTATATTCTTTAGATTTAGTGGCATGAAGTTTGAAGAATATTGAAACGTATGAAAAGTTCGTCGTTTTCCATCCCAAGTAAAAAAATTGTCTAATTCGTTCTCTAATTGCTTCATAACGTTTGTTGTTATTTCTCTTTCTAGTGATAGGATAACGAAATCAATTGCTTATTTATCAAAACAAACCAGCATTATTGAATCTTAAAAAGAAGAAATAGATCGTGATGGGCAATCGAAGTTCAAAAAAGAAAAATAATGACAGACCTTCGACTGCTTATGGACAACAACAACACCAATTGATGAATGATGGTGGGAGTGGTTTTATTGATTCACTACCAACAGCACCATCTAATGCTCATATTTTGCATTCACAATCCAGCCGAGTCAGTAGTGATAGCGGTATTCACCCCAAATCGAGCAAGACTAGTATGTATATACGTATTATGTATTGCGTTGACTTAATTATCTCGTATGTTCGAATCTCTTTTCGTACAAAATTGATTCTGTGTTTTTCAATAGTATTAGTTTAGAATACTATAATAGAATATTTTTCCGCTTGTATTCTGACAGAATAAAGCTTATATCAATTACTTTAATATCCTAACGTGTTTATTTACGTGTTCTAGGACAAATTTATATTGCCAATTATGATTTTAATGGTGCACAAACGAATGGAGAACTTAGCTTTCGACAGCAAGATAAACTGGAAATAATCGATCGACATACGTATGCATTTATTTAGATTTGAATCTAGTTTCCATTTTTTTTGTAAAAATTATATTAATTCTAGATATAATGAATGGTGGCTTGCAAAAAATTTGAGAACCGGACAATCTGGTTATGTACCTGCTAACTATATATCGCCAATAAATGATTTAACATCGATCGAGTAAGATAAACACGCTGATAAAATCAGAGATTCTATTAGTTACTTTTGTTTCTTCGACAATAAAGCATCGCGATAATAAACCCTATCTATTTAGATGGTATTTTACTGATACAAATCGTCGAGATGCTGAACGTTTTCTAGAACAACCACATAATGGTAAAGGAACATTTTTAATTCGACCGTCAGATTCGAATCAAGGTAAGAGTAGATAAAAATTAATGAAAAGAATTATAATAATTATTCTCTTTTTTTTCCTAGGCCAAGAATCATTATCTGTACTTGATCTAAGTTCCGACAAACATTTTCATGTTAAACATTATCGTATACGTCGTGCTGATTCAGGCTTATATTATATAAGTAGCAAAATTTTATTTCCAACATTACATGAACTTGTTAAGCATTATCAAAGTAAGTTTAAAGATGAATCTATAAATTAATTAATTCCTTTTTATTTTATATTTCTCATTTAGCTAAACAAGATGGCTTATGTTGCATATTAAGCCGAGCGTGTCCTAAAATAAAGCCCGCATTACCCGATATTGATCGTCACGGTTTGTTAGAACTTGATCGTAAACAACTAGAGAAAGTCGAATTATTAGGTAAAGGTAATTATGGTGAAGTTTATCATGGAAAATATGGTACTCGTGATGTGGCAATTAAATATATGAAAACTGATATAAAAAATCGTTCATCAAATGTTGAGAAATTCCTTGATGAAGCTAAAATTATGAAAGATTTAAATGATAAAAATATCGTACGATTGTATGGTGTATGCACAAAAGAAGAACCGATTTTTATCGTTACAGAATATATGACAAACGGTTGTTTGTTAAATTATTTACGTGAACATGGAAAAACTTTAAAACCGAGTAACCTTGTTGATTTCGCTACACCAGTATGAAAATTTATTTAATGTTTTCAGTGATTGAAATTAGTTTACGGTCTTGTGTTTGTAGGTTGCCAAAGGAATGTGGTATCTTGAACAACGACAATTTGTTCATTGTGATCTAGCAGGTTTGTTCAATAGTTTCCAAACCTCAGCGGACGTCTTTATTTTTCATTGTTTTAATTAAAAATAGCACGTAATATTTTGGTTGGCGAACAAAATACTGTCAAAATTGCTGATTTCGGCTTGGCCAGAGTTGTACAAGATGGACGTTTACTTGTTGATCGTGGTTTGTTTACATTGTTTAGTCGTATGTAACCTGATAGAAAATATTTTCGTTTGTTTCATTAAGAATCACAATTTCCAATAAAATGGACGGCACCCGAAGCAGCAACGAAAAAAGAATACACAACTAAAAGTGATGTATGGTCCTACGGAATTTTACTCTACGAATTAATAACAAGAGGTTCAAATCCTTATCCAGGTAAATAAAATTTTAAGAAAATCATATTGTTAGAGGTTATTTTTACTCTTTAAAGCTCAATTCTGAGCCTTCTAATTTGTCTAAAGCGAATCTTTTCTATTGTGACATTTGGAAAAATCAAAATGACGTCGTTCTTTTCTTTCGTTTTTAAGATATGAGCAATAACGAAGCGTTACAAGCTGTTTTGAATGGTTATCGTATGCCACAACCACCAGACTGTCCTGATTCATATTATTGTATTATGTCCAGGTGTTGGGAAGAAAATCCGGACAATCGTCCTACATTTGAAAATTTGTATAATCTTTTTGACGATTATGAAATTCAAGCTGAACCCAATTATAGAGAGACATAATTTAATAATTCTAATGTATATTTTGCTCAAAATAGTTATATAATATATATATACTGACCCACAAGAAGAATGAAAACAAAATGTTACCTTTATTATTATTTTTCGCTCAGATATAGTTTAGATTACAATGCTGATAGCTTGCTGTCTTATTATTTTAATCCGCCGTAGTATGCGATTTCTTTTTTAAATTTGTACGTATATGTGTATGCGTGTGTATTCTGTATTTTTTCTTATAAAAGAATCTTTTGTTTCTTTCTTACCCCCTCCTATTCTATTTAAATAATCTTTTATATTCTTAATAATATATTAGAACAAATTGCTTAAAATAAAAAAAAAATAATGTTAGATTTAAATAATATTCATTCTTTTATTTCTACTTTGTTTAACAGTGAAAATGACAACAGCTTTTTGTATCTTTATGTTGTTTATCTGTTCTTGTGAACAATTTTCTCGTTGCATTTCACTCTTTTTCACTCGTTTTCTTTCTCTAATACAGTTTTTTTTTTCAAAAATAAAAACTGTACTAACTGTACTATCTCTAGTTAGATCCAATTCAGAATAGATGAACAGCTAGTTTTTCTATTTTGTTTGATAAATTAATTCAATTTTTTACAAAAGAAAGAAGGTGGATTCTTCAATATTTTTTAAAACAATAACCGTCCAGACTAGTCTTCTGTTTATGAATGATCTTCTATTCTGGAAGAGTGTTTCAACCTAAACATTTTTTTTCTTGTTTGTTACTGAACAGTCATCCATCTCTTTGTTTTTGTTAACAACGAGCAGTGCTACTTTGTCTTCTCGAAAGATGAGAATAAAAATTCAGTTTAATAAATGAATAATGAGTTCTTTTTCCTTTTTTTTTTCTCTTGTGTTTTGTGCGTAATGGACATAAATGTTATTCTGCAATTTTTTTTTGCTCTTTCACATATCTTTATTGATACTCACAATTTATAGAAATTCAAATGTTCGTGTTCTTCTCTTCGTGCTTTATTTGCAATACGTTAACGATGGTTTTGTTTTTCATATGTAATGAAGATAATTGAATAATTAATAAAAATGTACTAGGAGACAAACACATTGCTTTACTTATTCATTATGTTTGGTAGTTATACCTATATTTCCATAGAAGGAAATTTTAAAAATCAATCTTCTGTTTTTCCTTTTTCTCGTTTTAACTTTCTCTCATACAAACAAATGTATAAAATATAATTGTTTTTCCAATATAAAAAATCAATTGTTGATCATGATGATAGGATAATCATCGAAAGCTCGAATCAAATAAATAAATTAGATTTTGTAAACAAAATCTTAATTATGATATTTGTAACAGTTATTCACTTCGTTTATTCATTATTATTTTCCACTGGTGTTTCAATTGTTATTATACCACAGATTGTTCTTGATGAAGTAAGTAACTGGATAAAACAATATAAGATAGTTCATTATTAATCAAAAGTAAAAGGAAAGCGATTCTATTATGAATGAATTTAATCAGTAAGTAATAAATACTAATAAAGATAGCGTGGATTTATTGTCTCACTTTTGTTTTCTGTTTTAGATATACATCGATGTTTCGAAAATCCACCGAAGTCTCTGTAAGAGAAATGATCGTGATATGCGAATTATAGTACCATCTCGTGCTGAACATTTGTTACAAGAGATTAGATGTTATTCAACTATGGCTCTTACGTCTCATTCAAGTAATAGTTAGTAGAATGCATATTTAGTTGAACTGAATCTAAGTCTGCTTCGTTGTATCTCGATAAATGCGGCATAACATTCATCCAAGAACCGTTTTGTATTGTACAATAGATCGTGCCGAAATAGCTTTGAATCAGAATTTATACCGAAGAAATCGCAATGTTCTGACACTTATTATATATAAATATTCTCAAAGATCTTGCGGACTTTCGCTCTGTCTCGGATATGAACAATCAACAACCGATAATTATAAAAGAAAAATGTACTATTTGCGTTTTCAATAAGAATTGTTGCCAGTTATTTCTCGATTTAGTCTTGCTGGTAATAAAAATAATTCTCCGAAATTAAGTATACTAATAACATGTTCGAAGCGAAGTAAAAAATATGAACAAGCCGATTTTCGTAAAATGAGTAAAGAAGGAAAAATTGTTTATGGTTATAAATTAGCATTGGTTGCCTACCTATTGGTTATATCATCTCTCATGTATGATGTACGTTGATCGTGTACTACTAATACGTCACCATTAAGATGATCATGGTTATTACCTAAAAGTATGCAAGGATTCGAGAAGAAAGACGAAAGGACAGGATTATTAGTCGCCAAATAAGATCGATACAAAATCAAAGAACAATCAGAGGCCAATGGTGCTATACAGAGATTGAAAACTCGATTGAGTGAAACAGTGGCTAGACCATTCAAAAACAAAGTAAAACTATCGAGAGTGTTCATTTAAAATAAAATGTAAATGACCTTTAGACTTCTATGAGATCATGAAATTAATGAAATGAGGGAGATTTCGTCCTAAAACTGAACGTAAGTTGGTTTGGCCGACTTGTCAGAAGAGTCTGTTCAGTGACTGTCGCTGAAGAGTTTGTTCAGTGACGAAGAACAAAAAAGTCTTTATTTAAGATGAGCATCGCTATCGGTACAATTGGTACGAGATCGTATTCTGCAAAATAATTTAGCTACTTGACATTCTAGTATTATTTCTTGTTAGACAAAAAGTGTTGTTTTCTGTTCTATAGGAAGTAAACTCCGGATTCGGAAACTTATAACAGTGTTACATAAATAAATTATTGAAACTAAGGTAAATCTTTATTACTATCTAAAAAAGGTTATCTTTATTACTATATAGTTGTTAGATTAATTTTGTTTAAAGATAGCGATGGTATATCAAGATTCTTAATCGATTTAAGATGCAGAATTACATAGTACAGTCATTTCGACATTTACATTCATTGGCAATTAAACGTAGTAAACTCAGATGGAAAATGAATATGTATTACACATATTTGTATTTTGTCACAATTGACAACAGAGATGTAATAGTCTGAATTACTGTCATCGTATCACACATAGGGCTGTGACAGTTACCATTACTGTTACAGTAACTGTAACTGCTGATCGGTTACAGTTCCTGGTAACGGTAACGGATAAGCAATTACCGTTTAAGTAATGGTAACGACCAGTTACAAGTAACGGTAACTGTTCAGTATATATTTCAACGGTAATGATAACTGTCACAGCCCTAATCACACAGTATGTGACACGTACATTAATGTATTTTCATACAGAGGTAGAAATGAATTGAATGCATCGATTTTAAAATTTTCTTTTCTTTTTTCTGCATTTGAAGTTGTTTTGTTTTGAACTAAATATACTGCGCATAAAGATGTCGTACAAACACTGTTATTGCATTATGGCATTAGAAATACATTATTTTTAAGAAATGAAAGTAATACCAATGGTAACGAAAATGTAATTTGATTTGACATATATAAGACGTTTATTGGATGTTTAATTTTTAGGAAGCGGCAGACACAGTCAATGTTTTCACAATGTTTGATTATGTTACAATGAAATTACCGTTAATCGAACTAGTTAATAAAGTCAGTGAACTCAACTTCATCTTGTTAATGTGAATATAGACGAATTTAATGTTAAAGCAGTAATAAAAACAAAAACGTCATTAGATGCTCAACGTAGATCACGATCAAATGAGTGAAATTAACTTAATAACAAGATGTTTTCTTTCTTTCTAATTGTTACTGTTTATCGTAAATAAATTATAAAAAGTTTACAGAACGTTTTTTTTTTCTATAATTACCGGTGAATGTTTCCACTATATGATAATATCAAATGAAAGTTTATTTTACCTTTGTTAAGAAGTCTGGCTCCAGCATGTGCATTGCCAATTTGACATCTTGTTTGTTGCACTAGACCCAACCAACACATTTCATCGTAAAAGTAGAAAAGTTAATCAAAAAATTGAATCTTGGAACTTTCAGATTACTCTGCTTTTCGAACAATCAACACCTTTCTGTGCATGCTTATCTTGTTTTAAGGTATAGATGCTATTTCTGGTGTTTGTGTTAATCTCATGCGACTTCTAGGTCGACGAACATATTGTGTCATAATTGGTAAATCGATTGGACTTTTTCTTCCCATTATGTAAGATTTTCCTGTTTGTGGTCTCTGAATTATTTTCTAAATAAAAAAAAGGGAACGTGTTGATGTTTCTATCTTAAGTTATCATCAACAGTTTATTTGTGTTTACGTGTTCATCCATAATGTAGTGAGTGAAAGGAAGAGAGAATTATTGGTATCCGTCAAATACACAAGGATGTAGATCTTTTCTTATTAACAATCAGTGACAAACTTTGTGTATAGAAAAATATTTATTTCTCTTAACCTTATTAAAATAGAGGGTGAAAAGGTATAAAATCAGTGAATTAAAACACTGGTATCAGTATTAGAGACCACAGAGTACATTCTTTGATAGCTATTGTTTAAAAGACTATCGTTGTTTCACCAACTGTATTAAAACGTGGTGTTAAACTAAAAACACTCGATTGTTGTTGTGAATGAATTGGTGTCGTGTGATGTGTACGTGAACGATTTGTCACACTATTATTTTTATGTGCACGTGGGGTTTTAGTTTTAAGTGGTGATGTTATATTTGCGACATCAGTTAGGGATAATTGTTTGTGATTAGAGTCCGGTGTGGTCATATTAATAGACGTATGTGATGATTGCAAAAATCCATAATCATTTAATAGTGGGGTTTTTGCAATTAATTTTCCTTTCACTTTGACACCGCTTACTGAAGTCGATGTTTCAGATCCTACACCATCACCACGTATTCTGTTGCTAGTCGAGTGTGATGGTCGATAAGGTAAAGTGGTCCCTTTTATAATCCGTTTACGTATTTCCTTTATATCATAAACTGCAGTTGTTGGTTGTTCTTTAGATGGAGAACTAAGTGAATTTTGTTGTTGTTGACTCTTATCTTTATAAACATTTGTTTCAAAGCTTGTGTAAGCTGGTGCAAGATTATAGGAGACTAATGGTTTTGACGCATCGTTTTCAAAATTATTATTAGAAAGTTTTTTTCCTTCTTTATATGCTAAACCCTTATAAACATTTTTATATTTTGGTATTGCTTTAATATTGGGCAACACTTGTCGATGATATACCGTTGAATCTTGAATACTTTGCTCTTGTTGTGTATTTTGTGCATCTTCAATCAAATGTTTACTGCGCTTTGATGTAGGTTTTGTTTTAGTAGGTGCGCATGATTTAACTGATTGCCACATACTTTCGTTCAATTCTTCTTGGATAAATGTTTCTAATGTATTATTATTTAATTTTGATGATGATTCAATGATTGATAATGTTTCATCAACACCAACACAGACATCATTTGGCAATGAATGGTTCGAAAATTGTGAATTAAGATTTTGTCTACGTTGATGTTCGTAATAAGTAGTTGTTGATTGATTTGATATAAGAACTTTTTCTTTTTTGATAGTCAATGGAACATCGTGTGTACTCATATTACTACAAGTACCAACTGTTGTTTTCTGTTTTTGTGGTGATAAAGTTGAATGAGAACGTTTTATTTGCTGTTGATGAGTGTGAATATTGTGTGCTAAAGAACGACGCTTTGAATTTTTATCTATTTCCAATGGTGTATCATTCATGTTCACACTAGCCGTCTCACGTTCATTTTCTAAACGTGTACATTTAATTGGCTCAAAATAAACATGTCCATTGTATCCTCGCCAAACCTGTAGAAAACAATAAACATAAAAACAAGGACAAGTATCGATAATAGTTGCACTAAAACAAAAACTATTCATGAACAACAATAATCTGAGACGTATAGTCACAAGTGATATTAGAATAAAAAAAATTACTGTTTTGAAATGGATCCAGTGGTGTCATAACACCACAAAGATCCTTGCTTCAAAAAGCATCGATCAGAAGCCGACGTCTTCCTACTAACACAGAAACATTCTTCATATGTCGACGATATGCCACTAAAGCTTTTCATCAGACAGTACATGTCATCTTTTATTTCCTTTCTCAATTCAAACACAAGTAGCAAACAAATATGAAGTTTTTAATTTTTAGATTAAATAAATCATGAAAAAATGATGATACAAAATATTTTAATTCAATCTGGCCACTAGGTGTTGGTATTTCGATGAAAATCAAATGTTCTAGGACTAATCTATGCGACAGACAAACACAAAATTATTCAATCATATTTTCTTGATTTGAAAATATGAATATACTATGAAAAAAATCTTGATATTATATTAAATGAAACGGCTCATTGGCTGGTTTTGACGATAATAATTTAAATTTCAACAATACAAATTAAACATAAAGTAGTACAAGTACGGCTACACACATCTTGCTGAGTAATGCTGAATATATACGAACATCAGGGTTGCCAACAAGAAACCGAAAAAGATCATCCTGAAATGTTCTTATTTCTGTAAGATTTTTGCAGGGAACTAGATACAAAAAACAGTTAGAAATCTGTAAAATCTGTCGGAAAAAATAATGACATTATAGGCCGACAATATATGATCAATCATACTGAACAGATTCAAACAGAAACAATTATTTGTAATTGTAATTATGTAATTATTATTTTAATTTATATCTTGCCAAATGTGTTATGTGACAAAGGCATGTATTGAATGAACGTACAGCAAATGTGGAGAAATTTAAAACACCTAAGTTTTTTCATGAAGAATGTGAAAAACTATGAAATGTTTGTATGAATGGGTTGGATTCATTTTTTATATATTTTTTGTAAAATATTAGTAAATAGAAGAAGAATACGCGTATATATCTTTACCTTTGTTTTGAAGTTATTACAAGTCTGTTTGAGCTATTTTACTTCATGATCACTATCCGTGACAAAAATAGAATTATTCAAGACTACATGATTTAAACTATGTCTGTGGAATTAGAAAATAAAATATTTTTTTCCAGTTTAAATTCACCAAAAAAAAATATATCCTGATGACAAAATAAGAATTTCATTTTACCTTCTGAGCTTTGATCTCACTGTAGGTAGTTAGTTTATCAAAATAAAACAGCGATGATTTATTAAAAGGGATGTATATATGTTTACGATACTTTTAACATACAGTCGCGTAGATATTGTCCTTATGATACACAATAAATTGACTTTTTCTCTTTTAAAATTCACAAACCAAGAACAAAAACAAACACTTAGATTTCTAATAAAAATTCTAATTAGATTTTCTTTTATTATATGAGAATCATTTTTTTTCTAAGAGTGCTAATATAAAATAGAGAAAAAATAACAGAGGATTCTTTCCCCGAATATATTTGAACACGAATCACTCTTGACAAAATAATTGTGATTTTGTCTCTCTGTGATTAGCATTTTTACCACTTATTAGGTTTCTTAGAGTGTAACTCAACGATTAGTCTTACAATGAGCTATATTTATTTTTATTCTGAATTTATATATTGTGGGCGTTTTACTTAGAACTAGAGGAACTATGCTTCTACAAACACCACTTCTTTTCTTGTCAATGTTTGATGTTAGACTTTTTGAGATGGAAAACTTTCTCCTGTAGTCCTGTACTCTCTACTTTCATCATTTTTTCAGATTCATTGTACGATATTTGTTTTTTTTCAATTTTTAGGTGAGTGAGTTATATTCTGTAGGACGGATTATGAGACGGGTACTTATTTGTGATGACAATAGGATACAAAAAGGAAGACAGATCAAGTTGATGAATAGAATAAAAAACGTGAGCTCAGAACAAAATCGAAGTGCAATCTCTGTACAGCATCGTTGGCTTCAAGTTTTTATATACTTTAAGTCACTTATAATGAATGAACTGCACAAAATAGGTGTGTGTATGTCTCATACAAGTATGTACGTTGGAGCCAAAAGCGAAACTCGGCCAAATTTAAAGTTTCACTAAACATTATCAGCCAAAACTCAAATATTAATGTTTGTCCAGTCAAAATTAGATTCAACGGAACTTCAGATTTGAATTCTGGCTGGCGATTGACAGTCTCCTTTTAAATTTAGCTATATGATATATTTTTCTAGGAGATAATTCTTCTACATAGTATAGTTTGAAGAGTAAGGATGAGATCGATGGTCATATGTAACATTATCATAGTCTACTTGTGTGCTCTGTATAGCATGCAACCGCCTGAATATCTCCTCGAACTTTTGTGAACGTTTTAACTTTTTGATTGTTTTTTCACTCAATCGATTTGACTATGTCTTTGCATCGTGTTTTCTGTATGCGAAATAAGTTCAATAACACAATGTGAAAGAAAGTTTCGTTGCTATTTGGACTTACTTTTAATGGTTGCATTGGCACTGGTCTTTTTTGTTCCAAATAATAAAATCTTGGATGTAAAAAGCCAAAACCTGGTGGTGGATCCGCAGATCCGAGAACTGTGGATACATCGTGATGTAGTTTTGAATAGCGTGGCGATTCGAACATTTCATGAACTGTTGCAGCATAATCGTACAGAGAACGAGGAATTATGGTAGTATTGTGTTCGTTAAAAATTGGTAGCACATCTGTATCTTCTGATCTGAAAACAGAATCCCAGTGAAAGTGTTGTGTCTAGTATACTTTTTAGAAGTTGTCATGTCATTTTGTACATAAGATTTCTTAATCTTTGTTTTCAAAAAGAACAGATGCATTGGGATCTTGAATGTCAATGTCTTTTTCAAATAGTCAGAAATAGGCTAAAATTAGTTACTTTCTATAGCCATCGTTTGTTTGAACAATTTGTAATGAATTTTTATGTTGTTCTTGGATGGTGTCAGGAGCTTTATGCTGCTCATTATTCATCATTGAGTTTACTTCGTCATTATCATCTGTATCGGATGATGATGTTTTAATATCAATATCAAGATCGTCGTCATTTTCTTCTGCTGAAATGAGTATACGTGTATTTTCAATTTCCTTTCTTTCATTTCCATCTGGTAACGCTGTTAAAAACGTTTGTTGTTCGTTCTTAGCATGTGTATTCGACATGATTATGTTTTAATTTCGTTAATCAATGATCATATTTTAATTTTTATCTCTTTTGACAGTAATTTTTATACTATTTATGAAAAATACTTTAAAACTAAAGGTAAATGATTGTTTAACTAAAACAACATTAAGCTATTGACATTAAAAAAAATAGAGAAGAAAAAAGCAATTGTAAACAAACCTTTTATTGTTGAACTATGTTATAGAATTCAAATAATTTTTATATCAATTTCACTTTTTTCAAAATGTGAAAACATTTTAACACTCCATTGTACATATTTCGTTTGTACAAAATGAAAAATCACTTATACAGTGAACAATGAAAGAGTTGCATTTTTCCATTCTTTATCACCATTTTGCTCTAGGAAACACGAACAATTTAAAATAAAAAGCATCTATTTGCACTTGAGTAAAAAACTTCTTGTTTTCTTAATTCAAACGACATAAAATGTCTATCTATACATGTTTTTTTTAAAAAGTAATGTTTCATACCTTTTTTCTTTTTGATTTTCTCTGTTCGCTTTTTCCCTTAGCATTTATCCTGCATGTTTTTTGTTTAAACAAATGAATAAACAACAATAGAATTAACAATGAGTCTGACAATCGGGCGGCATTATTGTAGAGAAAAAACTACTACTTATGTGTCTTCATGTTAAAAGAGTCGCTCGTCTTTAAATCCATAACTTTCCATTATGCTCGAGACGTTTTACCATTAGTCATTATCTCTCCGATTTCATCTTTACTTGCTAAAGTTTGTCAAAAAATTAGAGTTTATCATGATGACCTGCTACATGTAACACTTTTATACTAAAAAATCGTGCGTGTGTTCTACAATTTAGTTTGTGTTTCTCTCAATCGTAGCTGTTGTTTAATCGACTATACAAGCAGCTCTGATTTTATTCACAATTTGTTTTCATTCTAAGTGAAGAAATGCTTTGTTCTATCCATTTCAGATCAATAATTCAAACTATTGCTTTGTTATGTTAAGATATGCTGTTGAAAAACAAGTAAATCATTCATTTTTTCATACACATGTGGAGCGTTTAAAATTCACGTTCTAGTTCTTCTTAAATGTATCTTTATGATATGAAACTTAGCGTGATTGGACATATCAAAGAATTTTGGCAATAAATTCAAATTTTATCATGTAGCTTAGCTTAAGATCCGTTGATACTCTACTGGACTAATTGACTCAAACATAACTTTTATTGATTTAACAGCTATGAAAGGTGAGTAAAGTTTATTTGAGAAGTACGTATTTATCGTAAAACATTATTGCTTTGTATTATTTTAAAGATTTTCTGTTAATGTGTTTCAGACATATGAGAAATTAAATTGATCTGTTAATAGCTCAACAAAACGTTATAATCATTACGAGCCCATGCCAGTGATCAATTGAATGTACAAAAAAATAGGTAAAACAATAATTTGATTTCCGTTTACGATTAATGTAGAATTGTATGACACCTTCTCCATCTCTCTCTCTCTCTCATTTACACGTACTCAGTAACTTTGCAAGTTGAAACTACTTACTCTGATGGTACGAACTGAATGATTCTATTCTGTTTTAGTTTATTCGAATAAAAATGATCAGCTTGCTGTAATTAGTCTTCATTCATTAGACGATTGATCAGTTAAAGACATTTTCAAAGGATTGTACTGAACCGAATATGTTTATTTCTAATTTGAATGTAATACAAATGGATATTGAAATACAATGTGAAAATCGTTATAAAGGTCCTTAAAAAAGACTATTGAAGCCATCGAAAAGAATATTAATGAAAATCCGAAATTGAGATTGATTAAAATGAGGTATGAAATTAAACTATGATATTAGAACTAATTTTCTTGTTGTTGTAATTAAAAAATAAACTATTATTCATCCATATTCAATCTTTACTATGATATATAAATGCTGTTATACTCATGTTTTATAGAAACAAAAAGTCAAAAAATATGAGAGAAATATATTTTTAATCATATCCTAATACTTCTTTTGGTACGCGTATACGAAACTGTTCATCAAATTGAATCTGCATATTTTTAATTTGTTGTCCAACATCAGTTTGTAATCGCCAACCATATTCGTGTCCACGTGAATTTGGTAATGTATTTGAGAAACGAGTGCTGTTTTCTAATGTTCGTGCTCTTACTTTGAGGTTACCCTTAATGATGAAAAAATAAATAAAAATTTATGATTATTCCTTTTAAACATCGTTTTGTCATATTTTTTTAATTAGATTGTTAGATCTGGTACTGAAATTCTCAACTATTACACATAACTTCTTTAGAATCTTCTTACAAAAATCAACACCTTTTTGGAAGCATTTGATATAAAACACAGTTCTGAGTATATATTCAATCGATTGAGAAAGAGAAGAAATTTGTATAATGTGTATCATAGAGTATTTTAATTCTGATTACCTTTGGATCATAATCAGCTAAAAAGCCGTACATCTGTTCCCATTGTTTTCGTGTTGCATCTTCTTTTTGTACACTTTCAATCCATATTTGAGCTTGATCCCATGGATTTATACTATCATCAGCAGTTGTCTGTGTCGGTAATGTATCTGATACTTTTTGTCTGTTTGATTGCGGTGGCAAGGAGGCGGGTTCTTTTCGATTTCTAATTACAAATAAACTTTTTAAATGACTGAAAAATTCATAAAAGTAATATTTACCCTTTACGTAGAAGATTGGCCATTTTATTTTAATAATGTTGAAACATTTTACGAAACAAAAGTATATGAATAAGATTTATGAATTGAGAAGTAATAAGACAGATTATATTTAAAGTATTATAGTCAGTTGAGTAAACTACGACGATTTGGTACTCAAATCAGATAACTCCAGAATTAAAATGTATCAGTTAATTGAACACTTGTAATAGAAAAATATATTTTTTTGTATATTCTGTAAATGTGAAAATATTTTCAATTTTAAATCAATTGACGAATGATTCATACAATGTTTTTTGTCTAACAAATAGTCTCTAGAATAAATCGTCTCGCTGATATTCTAGTGAATGAGATATTTTAGATAATAATCTTTTGCAACAGTTCTTATGTTTTCAGTTTTATATTGTGTAGTTTATTATCGTTTAAGCTATTTATAATTTATTAACAAATTATACCTACAAAATATTATAGTCAATTGCTCATATCATCTTTTTCATCACTTGTTGTTATGATAGACGTATAATTATTCTTTTCTTTACCAAGTCGTTCAATCCTATTACATTTCTCTTGTTGTTATTTCAATACTCTTCAAATATATGATCACATGATTTTCTTTATTATTTTTTTTTCAATAAAAGTGGAAAAATAATAATATGAGAGTTAAAGAAAATTGTCAAACAAACACACACACACACTCACTCAAGTAACGTAGACACCATTCTATGTGTATATGTTTTATTCACTATTTTTCAATTTTATATATTATATATATAGCGACAAAATGAAGTTTTAAAGTGTTAGTATTTTGTAATTATTTTATTTTATTTATTAGCAACGCTATCTTTATAGACAAGTTTTATTTTTATCTATGATATTACACACAAACTGGCACTTTTTAATGTATAGATAAATAATTTTTGTTAAATAGTACTTTCGCTAACATATACATAGTTTAAGTAAATAATATTTTAGTTTACTTTTCGTAAGTAAACTAATTATAAGAATCGAGAATGATTTTTAGTTACTTGTACACGTAGTAATGCGATTATTCATACGTAAGTCATCATTTCAGAATATTTTCACACTACAAAGAGATGTTTTTTTTTCATTTTTTTCTTATCAAGGTTATTTGTTCTAACTTTCTCACTTTTATTTTTTTAATAAATTTTTTAATAGTATTTCAAAATAGAATCTCAATAAAGATAAACGTTTATTTTATCATTTACTACCGAAATCACCAATTTATTATATAAAATACAGCGTTCAAATAAATAGTACTTGATTGATATTCTTCTTTAGAAAAATTTGAAAGTATTTCTGTCATTGTCTGTTATCTTTACATACAAATGACTAGAATCCACATTTAAAAAGAAATAAAAAGGAGATAAAAACTCATTCTATTATGGATGATGATGCCAGAAGCTAATAAGTACGATTATAATATAACCGATAAATACTAATATCATATTAACGAATGGATATAATTTTGCTTGCATTAAATCATTATAGAGCATATCGAGAAATGTTATGTAGACAAATGTACCAGCTGATATACATTGTAATACACCATTAATTAAATTTAATCCATCTGATGATGTTACAACGAGACTAACTAATACACCAAGTGGACCCATACAACTCCAAAATGTCATATAGCCAAATATTTTTATATAATCTTGATTATCAACTAACAATCGAATTGTAACAGAAAATGCTACTAATGACATATGAAAAACAATTGCGCTAAGTACCAACCATAATGTTTCAACATTTATCTGTCCACCAACTAATACGCCATTGAAAAAATAATGAATACCTAATGCACATACTAAAATAATAATACGTTCATTTGTTTCTTTTATTGTTTGGTTTACAATTGGTCTAATTGTTGTTGTATGATCATGTTGTGTTGTTCCTATTGTTATTAATTGTTCTTTTTCGATATTTTTATTCTGATTTCGACGTTCGATTGCACGAGTTATTTCTTTGAATATACAAATAAGAAAGAAGCCCAATCCAACAAGAAAATAGCCCAATTCAAAATGATGAAATGCTTCAATATGTAGAACACCGGTGCGAACTAAATCAATTGCGTTTGGTAAAATAAATAATAGAAGAGTACCTAGAACAAAAGAAAAATAAATGATTATTTATAGAAAAAAAGAATGTTTTATACAGAAAAAAGATGAAAAGAGTATGACCACTTTATTCACCTAAAAATATTCCACCCGTTATTGAACTGACGATTGTTTGAGTTAAAGTTAAAAAACTGCCACGATGTAAAATATAACGTTGTAGACATATTCCAATTAGTGTCATGAATAATGTTGATAACAACAGTATGGGTATTGATATATATTTTACCGTTTGTAAATCCATTTTTGTCTTTCTTATATCTATTATTGTTGTGATATTTTCTTCTAAAAACAGAAAAAGGAAAATTTTCATTGACTTCATTAGCATTTCTTATTAAATCTTACGAACGGTATCTATCGTTAAGGATAGCTTAAAACATGATTACTATTTATAATATTTTCAATCGAGCAAAAATATAATGTGTTTTGATATGTCTGTTTAATGAACGAAAGAAACTCAGTACTTAGTTTTTAAAAAACTAAACAATTTTCTATTTGACAAAACAAAATTCCCTGACAACACATGATAAAAATCTTCTTGTTTGTTAGCACACAATAATCAATGTGTATACTGAAAATTTTACAATTACTAATTTTCGTTTTACAGCGTTATTGAATACAGAAAAAAACAAAGTAAAATCATAATAGATACTATATTACTGTCAATTATGCAATGAAGAATATCTTGGCATAACTCACTTAGAAGTTTAAAACATGGAATTATATCATGTGCTAGACAAACATAAACTATTTGTCTCAGTAGCAGTGTTGATTTTTCTTTAGTTTTTGTGTTTATCATTCATTTATGACATGTGTTATACACAGTCTTAGAAGACGAAAAAAAGAGAATATTAGTTTTCTCTCTGGAACGTCTGTAAAATATTGTTTGTTAATGGTTGACGCACAGCTGACGGTGAGATTAGTATATCTCTCTATACATATAAAATGTTATGTACATACGATATATTCTTTTTCTTTTTTGTTCTTTATTTTTTAAAATGATATAACTACATTATCCTATAACGAATATAAAACATAAAAGATAGAAAGAGGTGATCATATTTTGTAGAACGATTGTAAGAAAGAGAAAGAAAAAACAGCAATATGTATCACTAGGACTACATATACTGGGATATTCTTTCACTGAGTAAAACAGTTATTCCATGACTTTAAATATTAAGATAAATATAACAAATGAAACTATACGCATTTCTAAAGTATTATTTAGTCATAAAAAAAATCTCTCAAATTAGAATTTAAAATGAAAAAATTGCCTTTATTTGAGATGAATTTGTTATCATGGGTATTAGATTCTCAAAAGTTCTGCTTAAACTTACATTTCATAAGTGTTCGTTAGACAATGAGGATGGAAAATATCGTAGTAAAAAAGAAAAAAGCAATTATTCCATAGTACTCGATTACTTTTTTTTATTCAAGTCAAATATAACAGATAGTTAGAAGAAAAATTAAGAGGTTATCTTTGTACGAAAACTACCTATATGCTTCCAAAATTCTACCTACTATTAACTTTAATCAACTGACTTAGTTCTCTAACAGACTTATGTCACTATGTAATTACTATCCATCCCAAAATACAGTACCGGTGGGCATTTTTGAATAACTTTTGATAGGAATGAGATAGAGACCTGCGATTTTCGCTGTTCAATAGCCAAGACTTGAGCAGAACTTTTCACAAGCGGAAGCAGCTTTTCCTTATATCTTGATCAAATTTCATGCTGACTCAAGGAAATTTTCAGCAAACGCTCAGGACAGCTCATAAAGCATAATCGAAGACGAAAAAGGTGAATGTGAACTGGGCATTGGCTTAAGGTTTCCCAGAAACCTTCTGAAAAACCTCAGAGCATCAGTGTTCTGCTGGATCTTTTTTCGGCGTGGTCAACAACATATGGCACCTTTTAAGCCTTTCCTGAAAATTTCCTTGAGTCAGCATAAAATTTGATCGAGATATAAGGATTTTACTTTTTGCTAGTAACAGGCGAAAAACCGGTTTTTCACAACAATGCCTCTGGCGAAGTTATATTCATTTCTACACAAAAACAAATGTTGCTACTATGCTCAGCGTAGTCGATTACTTATAGTCCATGGCATTTTGAGATTTCCAGAAATGTCTACTCGGAGATAGACACGTGCTCGGAGAAAGCGAGCCCTGCCCCAACGACGGTAGCTAGAGAGCCGGAACTCAAAAATGCCCACCGGCACTGTATTTTGGGATGGATAGTAGTATTTGGAATGCTACTATGATTATGCATCGTACCATATCAACTGACGAGGGAACATATGTAACTGACCAATCGTTTTTTTAATGAAATCTAGTAGAGTATAGGTAAAAAATGGTGCTGAATCCGAATATCGGCATGAGACGAACAGCTAAAACCTTGTGAGTACCGGATTTCTTGGAAACCAGGTTTCCAGAGCCAGAAACTTTTTGTTCCAAAAATTTTTTCTGATCTGTCTCGATTGTAGAGCACATCGAGAAACCTATAGAAAACTAATTTTCAGAATTTTGGCACCCTTCCACAGTTCGTGTTCTTCTCTTTTCCGTACGCTGAGGTTTTTTGAGGGAGCCTATAGCTTTGTAAAACTTTCAAAAACACTTTAAAAAAACCCAAAACTAGTTTTTTATAGGTTTCTCAATGTGCTCTATAATCGAGACAGATCAGAAAATTTTTTTGGAACAAAAAGTTTCTGGCTCTGGAAACCTGGTTTCCAAGAAATCCGGTACTCACAAGGTCTAGCTGCCCGTCTCATGCCGATATTCGGATTCAGCACCATTTTTTACCTATACTCCACTAGATTTCATTAAAAAAACGATTGGTCAGTTACATATGTTCCCTCGTGAGTGCTACCATTCTAGTGAATTAGATGTCAGAAAAAATTGTGAGGTCTCGAAAAAATCTACGTTTGATGAAAAAACAGTCAAAATGGCGATAAACTTAAAAATTCTCACCGAATTTGTTCACGTTTATTCGAGACTTTAGCTATATTATTTCTTTTTACCATGAGATAGAATAGAAATGGTATTCTAATAGTCTATTAAGAAGATTATTTAGAAAATTTAAGATTCACTATTACTTTTTAATAGAGAAAAAATGAATAACTTTAAACCTTCTAAAGATAAAAGAACTGAAAATGTCGCTGCTCGCCTATGTTTTAAAAAAATTTCCAATTCGATCCATATTAATAGTACATATACAACTTTCGTTCAGCAAGAGTTTTCGCTTATACGTCGCACAAAGACATTGCAAACGTCGTATGGGACACATAAAATCATGCAGCTTCATCGATTCAGAATTGTTAATCATTATTTAGTCGTATAAGTTGGACACTAATTCTGTTAATCATTATTTAGTCGTATAAGTTGGACACTAATTCTGTTAATCATTATTTAGTCGTATAAGTTTAGACACTAATTCTTCAGAGGTTTATTTTTTAGATTTGTTTCTACTTTCACGATGAATGAAAAAATTCATTTCTACGAAAATTATTTACAAAAAGCATGTCAATTTTTAAAAACGTATCAATGGATTTATGACTTTCCAGTTGTAAAATGTTTCGTGTGCAAACCATGGGAACAAATGCCTATCGAGGTACGATTTTGTTTGAATAACGAAACGATACCAGTACATCATGAGAACTACTTTTTTTTCTATCGTCTTTTTTCAGTGGCAAACATATTTTAGTAATCATGATGCAGTGCTATTCGCTAATGCTGTATTAAACTTTCAAAAACAACCCTGTGGAAAACATGAACTGCTTCAGGTAAATTAATATCTTTTCTTTTTTGATGTTTTTATTATGTTTTTCAATACTCGTACATGACGTTTTACCGTATCAGAAATATTTACTCTATTTCTTTCTAAAATATGATTCACTCCCGCTGGCAAGCTCTACGCTGTAAAAAGTGTGCTCTGAAATGTGTTCTGTCCAAGCTGTGTCATGTCAGAGAACACATCTTGAAATGACAAGGATGTGCTCGGTACTTGCGTGAATATCATGCGCGATAACACTTGGAACTGCGTCGTATTAACAAGTGCCTTGCATTCAATTTACGCGGATAACGGTATTTCTGCCGAGGACACATTGATTGTGTCCTACAATGTACCCTACCACATGACGCATTGAATATACTTTGCTTTCTTTTTTATCCACTCTTTTCTTTTGCAGCAGCATGTCTATATAGTAGACTCAAAATATTTTCTAAAAGGTTGAAATTTTTCTCAATATAACTCATTGAAACTCGAATCGCGATGATTCTATCACAACTATTCGATCCAACATATAGAAAAATACGATCGATGAGTGGGTGACTTGACCATACGTAATTTATAAGGATTATTCATAGGAGGATATCGGAGTTTCATTAAAAGGAAGTTTATTTTTAAAATTTTTAATAAAATTCTTGTGCTATCAAAAAATTTTGATGAAACTCCTGCTAAAATTCTTTTAATGAAAGTACCGAGACTTTCATTAAGAAAAACGCTTTAATGAAAGGTTTTTTAATGAAAGTCACTCAATCCTTCATAGGAACTGAATAAAAGACATGAAGTTTTCTGTATTCACATATTATCTTAGGATTAGTCTCAAAAAAGTACTAATCAATATACATTATTTTGATTATATTTTTTCAAACAAATTAAAATAAAATGGCTATGTGCTAGACACATTCATTGCGCCTTCTTTAATGACACATTTGAAATTTTGTATCATATGCCATCTACAAGGATATATTTTTTCTACAGTAGAACGTGTCTTTTTAGTTTATATCGTCAACAGCCTTACCAGAAACATTACTAGATTTTATTGTTGAATGTAATACATTGAATAAAATGTCAAGAGAAAAACTAAATGATACTGCTATAATTCAAGAATATACATTGGACAATAATTTATCACGTTGCATCAAACAAAAGAAACGACACGAAGTTTCAAGATTTTCGCATTTAATTATTAATACAGCAAAACAATTGAACTGTCATACAATTTTAGACATTGGCGCTGGGCTGGTATGATAAAAGACAGGTTAACAGTTTATCTCAAGATGAATTTAACAGTTGGTTCTATAAGTCTTAAATAACATGAGTTTTCTGAAGTTGAATGCTGAAAAAGATATTCGATATTTAATAGTATAAAAAAAGAATAACTTTAGAAACTTCATATCTCTAGGGCTACTTAGGACAAGTATTAACTCATTATGATTCATCATTAAACGTTATTGGGTTTGAAATGTCGAATGCTCATGTACAATCAGCTGATAATCGAAATAAAAAAATCACTTGTGTTAATGATAGAAATTATTTACGTACTGTTGAAATTAATAATGAAATGACCGATAACAAATTACTTGAAATAGTTCACGATACATTAAATAGAGACAATGATGATAACTTCATACTATCTTCGTTACATGCTTGTGGTGATTTAACACCGACAATGTTGAAATTATATGTCAAATCTAAATTTATTCGTGGATTATTAAACGTATCTTGTTGTTATCATACAATGAATTATTCAGGTAACCATCTCTATATCTTACTCGATTCATATTCTAGTCAATTTATTTAATTTAGACGAGGGATTTTTCAATATACCTTTATCGAGAACATTAAAACAAATTATTTCTCAATATCAAAATTTTACTATGACTTTATACGGTTTGAGATTAGCTATACAAGAAACACAGTGAATACCATTTTGGCATTCATTCATCAAGAAAGTTAAATATATTCTCTAATCTTAGTGAACAATGGTATGAAAAAAGTGATTCAAAATTGAAACAACATATGCGTAATACGATCTATAGAGGAATTCTTGAATGTATTTTAGTGGAAAGTATGTTACGAGATAAATATAAGATCACTAAAATTTGAAATATTTCTTTTTATTAAGATAATTATCATTTGGAACATCGAAAACAAGTATATGTAAAGTCAGACTCAATGACATTCGACGATTATTGTCATTTAGCTATTCAACATTTAAAACGTCTGTTATTTTTTACAGTAATTGTTAATTATATGAATTTTCATGCTTCTTTAACGATATTTAGATTACAATATTGACGTAAATATTCTTTTAATTCAATTAAAACAACGTTATAAGGAATTTGAAGACTTTTTTTCACTCATAGAACATTTAACGGTATTTCAAAATAATTGAATAAACATCTGTTTTTTGTTAACATTTGATTTTTTTTAATTTTAGATTCTACAATGTTTATTGCAACCAGTATTAGAACTATTCGTTTTGAATGATCGACTTGTCTATTTATTCTGAACTAGACATACAATATGAGTGCAACTACTACTAATGGCATCATCTACCAGAGCACATCTACTTACCAGATTTGAGCTGGGAGATGCTTGCAGTTCTTGGACACTCTCGTAAGCAGAACATCTGTGGATTTTTAAAAATCTAACATGAATTCCATGAAGATCTGCTCATAGAATATAGACGTAGTCTTAATAGAAGAAAAGTACGGGAGACGGTTTCTGCTTGAAAATGGTCCAATATGATTTTGAGTGAAAATGATTGCAAATGCTTCCAATTTTACTTCCACATACTTCTGACTTTAAAAATTGCTTCTGATCCCCTTGAAAAAAATTTTCATATCATTTTTTGTGGCCATTTCAACAAAGACCAAATAATTATTTCCCAAAAGTTTCCGTCTGATGTCACAGTCCTTGACCAAAGCTCATATATAGAAAGGTAGAGAATTTTTCGGGCTTCAAAATGAACTATAAATAAGTCTTTCAAAAATATGCTCACATAGGTCAATTGTCGAAATGCTCGACAGATGTCACGATTTTCACCTATCTTAGTGCTTTGAAGCAATATTTCTCGAACTCATCTACTCGGAAATAATTATTTGGTCTTTGTTGAAATGGCCACAAAAAGTGATATGAAAACTTTTTCAAGGGGATCAGAAGCAATTTTTAAAGTCAGAAGTATCTGGAAGTAAAATAGGAAGCATTTGCAATCATTTTCGCTCAAAATCATATTGGACCATTTTCAAGCAGAAACCATCTCCCGTACTTTGTGTACAGCTCGATTAAAAACTCGGAAAAAGCAGAGAAACTTATTATAGTCGGCAACTACTGTGCGTGGAAAATATTCGCCTTCTCTGTGATTTTAAATTCGAACTAGAAAATGTTTTGCTATTACGCAGCAAAAATCGTCTAGATATTTGAATGAATATATAAATCGAGCTTTTTAGTTTCGGCTTAGCTCTGAGAAATAAAAAGTTTCTGACAAACTATTGTCCATCCAAAAAAAGAATGGTATATGACTGTTTTTTTGAATAACTTTCGATAGGAAAAAGCTAAAGAGCTTCAATTTTC